GAGTGCAAATTAAGTTTTAAAATTTTATTGAAAGAACCAGTGTTGTTGATTTTAATGTGTTCTTTTTGACTGCCAGAATTTTAGTTGTTTTATTTTTTTTCTAAATTGACACAATTGCTATTCACTTATGTATATGTTTATACATAACATACTCAACTTATACTTGTATAAATCATTAAAAAAAAAAGTGTGATCTTCTGAGAATTTAAGGAAAGTCAAATTATTAACATAAGTGTTTTTAACAATCTCAATACTGACTCCTTCATCTTTTAAAAAGAAAGAAAAAATACCAACCAATCAATGAATATTGAGAGCACTTTGGTGTGGGTTTAATGGTTAGCAAGTTTGTCTGGTTGACAATTACTGAATAGTTCAATCTTCACTTGGTGTTCCATACTTGTGTTAAAACTAAGCTAACGTTGTAAAATAATAGTCAATGAGTAGTGGAAACTTTAGTTCAATACTTTTAACTGATTTTGTAAAAGACCAAATAAATTTGCCTACACTTGTATATTTCATAGATCTAAAAAAAATTCTTTATTCAATTTATTTTGAGAAAGTAATTTCAACAAGAAATTACAAATCTGAAGTTAATAGTTATAAATAATTATAGGTTTTATTGGAAGAAATTTTATTTTTCTTCTATAATTTATAGATAAAAAAAAAAGGGGGCAATGTATGAGGACTGCTCCAAAAGTAATGTCAACCATTTATTTCTACAGAAACTACAGCAGCCGCAGGAAGTACAATAATATAATTAGTTAAAGTAAATTTTCAGCTTCAGAACATTTTTCCTTAGTTATGTATGCATTTTCACTAGGAATGAACAAAAGCTTGCATGTTGTACTTGTAAAAATAGCTTTTCAAATGTTATGCTGTTGTCCTTAATGAAGCACATTACCCACTGCTTAACCCTGTTCACATCCACTTGATGGTCTTAGCAAACATTCAGAAAGTGTTGATGAATATCAATGAGTACAGTCATTTTCTGTATGGCGGAATTTTGTGATACATGTTGGCTTTTTACACACTTTTAACAGACTGCCACTCAGCTGTGATCTGTAACAAGGCAAAAAAAAACAAAACAAAAAAAAACAAATTACAGGTTATTGGTTAGAAGATTAAATTTTTACTGCCAGCAGCTTCTGATGTTGTGGACCAATTTAATAAAATAGGCATTATTTTTTTTAAGTAATCTTTTAAGTAAAATCTTTTAGAGACTATAAGTTTTCCTAGACTTTAGTGGTTTAAGTAAAATCACTAGTTTTGACATCTGCAAATGTCTTAAACTCCAAATACTTTTTTAAAATGTGATGTCAAACGTTAGACTTTCAAAAGGTACTTGTATAAATCTATTTTCTGATACATCATCAATACTTTGTATATCATTCCTTATTGTATTTATTATATAATAATAACAGTATAATGAGCCATGTATAAATGTGTGTTTGTGTGAAACTTTTCACTGAGTGTATAAAGGCAATTTATAAGTACTATGCTTGTAATGATAACTCACATATCTTCAAAACATAATGAAAATGACATTAAAAAATTGACTTTGATATATCAGTATATGTCCTGTAGCTGGAGGGCACGTTTTCTTGAATGTACAGGTCAGTAAACAAAATAAAATAGTGTTTAATATAAACAAATAATCTACTCAAATACAGATATCCACTAAAAATAATGTTTAAAGTAATAAAAATGTTGGATTAAAAAATAAAATCCATTAATTCTTTAGAAATTGGTTTGTTTTGTATATGAAGCTGAGCAGTTATGACTTTTGAGTAAATCTGAACATGTAAAATGTTTTTTAAAGAGTCTTACTTGATTATGAAGTTCTTTGTAGCCAAGTGATCAAATCATTGTGTGTGTCTGTGTATATATTATAAAATGTGTGTGATTTTTTATATATATATATATATATATATATATATATATATATATATATAGACTGCAATTTTAATTAATATTTGAACAATAAAGAAATGGAAATCATCTTTTACAGTTGACTTTGGAACCTGAATTCCTACTCTTAAATTAATAATATACTGTCTGGTCAGTTTGAAAGGTTAAACCATTTAAGAGTTAGCAAGTCTGAAAAAAGAAAATTTTTAATACAAACCAGGGCAAATCATTTTTCTGAAGCAGTGAATCTTGCATAAATTTTGTTTATATTTAATCACTGTAAACTCTTGTTAATTTTCTAAAAATTACCTCTTTTTTTCCAAACAATTTTATTGTTAAAAAAAAAATGGGGTTTTGTGTATAAAAAGTACATAACTCATTTTTTCTTCTCCACACCCTATATGAAAAGAATATAGATTTATGACTGTCTATTCTGGTTCTTTAACAGTCAATGCTGTTGCTTTTTGTTTTTGTTTACTGTTTGGGTTTTATTTGAACAAGTAGACAATATTAGATTTAGTAATAATGTCTTCACAGTGTGCTGCACAGCTGGGCATTGACACTGCAGCTGTATTGTACGTTGTATTCTAGAACAATGTACAGCTTGCACTGAGACAGATGGGCTTATTGTGTTGCTATGGTAAAAAGAAAAAAATTGTCAGATGTTCTAGTTTTCAATCTATTGCATTTGTGAAAACTCCTATTTAAAAAGGAATTCTGAACCACCTGAATATATTCTGCCTATATTTGGGATAAAAATATAGCATTAATATGTTGTTTGTAAAATTATTAAGCCATTTATTAAAAAATTTAAATTTAAACATATTGAAAGTTTTTTTAATGGAGTCTTGGAATTAAAAATTTCTCCATATTTACACTGAGAAGTGTTAGGATAAAATTCATACATTATTCTTGAAAAAAAAAATCAGCTTCATTGGAACAACCTGAAATCTAGGACTTCATAATGGTATTAAAATAACTCATATGAACAAGTCTACCATATTTAATTTGAACGAAATAAAATAACTTCTCAGGTATTAATGATTTGTTTTAAAAAAAAATTTTTTATCATTTCTGCCAAGTAATTTTTTTTTTTGTTATAATGTTGCTTTGTGTTATATTAAAATTCAAGGGTCACCTTCAAACTCATGCACACCTTTATATATATATATATATATATATATATATATATATATATATATATATATATATATATAATCACTTCCTATTGTGTGCATTTGCATAGATATTTTGAACATTTAACAACATCCAGCTCTTGGAAGGAACTCTAAATTTGGTTAAAAGAAAGCAGATAAGTAACATTCATCAGAGATATTTCAAATTAGGGTATGAGTTTACCTGTTATTTCAACACACCTTATTCATTTGCAAAAAAAAAAATTACAGCTAAAAATATCTATTTTCTGTGTGTAATTATTAAAGGTTTTTATAGAAAATAAATGTAATTTTATATTTTCTTATTTTTACTTTTGTGTATGATAATTTTCTATGTATATCCTCTGTCATCTATATGTAGGCATATGTGCAAGAGACAGGTACGTGCATAGATAACTTTGTCAAGCTGCCCTTTTTCTATATGTGCTTCTCTCATCTTCAACCCCAGCCATGATATATGATGACTGTTCATACAGTATGTAAATCTGTAGGATTTAAAAATATTTGCTTACTTGATAAACATACATAAATGCACTTCTTTTGCATCCAAATATATACATCTATATTATTGACATTTGCATTCTTTCAAACATATCTGAAAAAGAGAAGACTCTGCATTTTGTATTTTATATAGAGCTTTCTAATTTTTTTTTTTTTTTTTTTTTTTTAATAGATCTTTTAGAGTTATTAAAATGGTGTTAATGCAGATGGTTAAATTATAATTTTAAATGGTCTTTAAGTAATAATCAAAGTTATTGCTCTTGTATATATGCTGGGTCAAATTGACCAGATGAAGAAATAAATTTTAAAAACTATTCAAATTGAGTAAAACCTCAAATTAAAAAAAAAAAAAAAAGAGGAAAAGTAAACACATAGTGACATTTATCATGATATAAGTCTAATAAGCTATAGCTAGCAACTTTTTCTCACTGAATGTTCCACGAAACTCTCTTTGTACTGGCTGATTTCAGTAAATCTCTCTCTTTCTCACTCTTGCACACATCCATCTGTCTTTTTGTCTCTCTATGGATGAGTGTGTGTATGTAGGGGCATATAAATTTGTGTGTAGGTATATAATGTGCCTGATTAGCATGTCTTGCATGTGAGTCTCTACCATACATAATTTCTATCTTGTCTCAATAGATTTCAGAGAACACTCGCCTTCATTCCAAGTGTATAAACTAAATAAAGTAGATTATCTCCAGAAAATGATTATATACATTCAGAACATCATTAAATATTCTGTGTCTTTTGATGTTTTCTTCAATACAATCATTATCAACTCCTGATAAAGAGTTTCTATTAAAAACCTCACATGGAATAAATTCATTTTTTCTTAAATTTAAAAAAAAAAAATTTTTTTTTTTTTTTTTTTTTGACTTTCCTTTTCTGATTATATCTATAGATTAAAAAAAAAACTTCCTTTGAAGTAATTATGGCATGTTTGATAGTCAGACTCAAGATTAGTGTGTTCATCTCAACAGTTTTCTATAAAAAAAAAACAAAAAAAAAAACAAGAAATAAAATAGGGATGGTGATGTATGTTCCTTTCTTCTATATACAGTTTAAATGATAATTACTTATGTTTAACAATTTAAAAATTGTTAAACATAAGTAATTATCATTTATATATAATAAATTATAATTATATATACCTACAGTTCCTGATTGGTTACCCATCTAAGTATTGTGTCACTGCTTAGCTTTAGTCTAGTGGAAACTAGTGTTTTCAGCATGAATTTATTGGATATATGTATAAATATACTCTACATATTCATATGACTCATCATCCAACTAATATACACATCTATTTACTTTATTTTTTTTATTAAAACCATGTTCAAATGCATGAATTTTATTATTTATTCCTTTTTTTATTTCACAATTTCAACTTTTTTTCCTTTCAATTTTTTTCAGGTCTTGGATAAGCGAGTCTCTCGTAACCATGGAATGCTGGAAATTGTGGATGGAACATTGTTCCTTACACCAGTGAGTTCTAAGTTTGGCTTTTAGCAATGAAAACAAAAATAAAACATGCTTAATTTTTATTAAAAAAATTGTTTTATTAGATTTTTCTTAAATGTTTCATTGTTGGAAAACTTTTGTCACTTTTATTTCTAGTTTTTGTCTTTTAAAATATTTTTTTAAATGTAAAGCTTAATAATTTTATTTAATGCTTGTTTGTTCTAACAGCATATTAACACTGTTGGTTATTTAATGCTGAAAAGAATTTTTTTAAATATATGGCTTGTAAGTAGTTCTTTGGGTTGTTAGTTCCACCACTCTCCAGTTATGTCTCTAGAATGGAGTTTATAATGTGGTATAGACCAAGTAGGCTAGGATAGTCTCTACTTTTATTTTTAAGTAGTCCTCTAGACTAGTCAATGTCATAAAATTATAGTCATTTAATCTTTGTTTTTATAATTCTCAACTTGTTTTGATATAATCTTTAACTGTTTCTATAAATCAAGAATAAGCAGTTGTTATTTGAAAATAGCTGATTCTGTTACACCTTATCAAAGTTTTCATGTCTAACAATTTATAACTCTGTAAAATAGGAAACACTTTAAAAACCTATTGAACTGTGATACAAGTGAAACTAAACTTATCCTTGCTACATTTTCATTTTTCTTATGGCCTTTGCATTTTATTCCTTGCTATCCTTCCCTTTATTCTTACATCATTCTATTATAATTGTGACTATGATGATTGTGTGTGTAGTCTAGCAAGACCCTCTTCCAAAAAAAAGAAAATATTAATTAAGTTTCAGTTTTGATGATGCAAGAAAGTTGGATCAGTTTTCAAGAAATTTCTTACAAACTTTTTTTTAAAGATTTTAAGAAAAGAGCTGAAGCTTTGATAATTGAAACAATAAGGAAATGGTAGAACCTTATCTTTACCCCAAACCCCTAAACAGAATTTTTAATAGTGCCCAAATCTGTTAATAGTGTTTTATTTACTTCTATCTTACACACAAATATAAACTGATTAAAAACATAGAATTGTGTGAGAAGAGCAATCCTTTTTTTTTTTTTTTTTTCTTACCATGCAGCATTGTTTTATTGATAACTAGCAATATAACCCATCTTCAACCAGGTCTTTCATTACTGGGAATTTTTACCATTCAATTGGAGCAGTTTAAGTTTAAAGTCAGCCCACCTGAAAATCAATATAAGTAACAACAATTGAGTGCAACTGAGGCACATCCCTAAATGTGGTATTAACATTTTGAATGGATGGGTGGCCCTGAATAGGCCCATTTTTGCGTTCTCAAATTTGTTTTGGCCTCATGTGCACTGTGCAGCAGCAGTTGAAGAAGTGTTTCTCTTCAGCTGTTGAGTCCTTTTGATCATCATTTTCAGCTTCGTATGCAGAAGTTCAGGTATGCTCTTCTGTTAAAGCTGATGGCTACATTGATCTTTGGACTCAGTGAATCTGACTGAAGCATTCCGAGAGGCATTTTGAGATAGGCAAACTGAACATTCTAAAGACGATTTATCTCTTATTCGCATGGCAGACCTGGCGGTAGTGGTTTTGCGACCTAGACAAGTTCTTTTCTTTGGTGGCGCATGTCTTAGGCAAGTATGAATTGTCAAATGGAATGTGTAGGCAAATACAAGAAGAGAACACTGTAAAGCTATAGAGGTCTCTAAGCTTGAATAACTTTAGAAAAGGTTGGAAAAATAAATGTTGAGTAATAAAAAAGCAAACTTATTTATTACTACAGTGAAAGCAATGCAAAAACTGGCAGGACAATAAAAAAAATTTAAATTGAGAATGGCTATAAACGGCAATGAAAGCAACGCCTTAAAACTGTAGTAGTAGACTTTATGCAATAGAAAAGGTAACCTCATTTGAGAGAGATTGAACGCTTCACCAAGAGAAGGGGAATGTGTAATTTGGACTCAAAACTGCCACTGAAGAAATATCTATCAAGCCAAAAACATTTCATTGAAATCGGATGAAATCTGTGGAAACACATAAACAATATCCAAACACACATTTTGAGAATTATAGATATAGACAGAATCATTTCATTTTTTTTATGTCTGTTCTGACTAATTAAATATAAATTTTATAGAGTCTCTACCTAAAGAAATTATTGACAAACTGAATGGTTAAGTTAACTATTCAAACATCAAGCAAACATTAATGGCACACAAAGCTACAAATGTTTCTTTGTTACTGTCTTAGGTATCTTTGTTTTCTATTGGATCAGTAAACATCTGTTTGCTGTTACAAGTTATTTCTTTTTGCGCGCTAAAATAATTGCCCAGTTTTTCATTATTTGCTGTCATTTTTAGAATGCAAAACCTGATGATTATATATCTGTAATAGTTATTTTTCTGAAACTAGTGTCATATTGAAATTATGACTAATCTAACTATAATGGACAGTAAGAGCAACATGTATGGGTAGTAATCTCTTACACAGTCTCTTTTCCATTTATCATAATATTTTTGTAAGGGTGACTTTAAAACGAGAGATCAGTGTGTACATATAAGCTTTGAAGTTTACATTGTTTCCAAAGGTATTTTCATGAAAAGTTGAATTTTTGTTATTAGTCCTGTTTTTAAATGAGTTTTGTATCTGATTGATGTTATTCCGTGACTTGGTCAGAATTTTTACATTGTTATTGAATGATCATAGTGGAGATTCATCATTTGTGACAAAAAGCAAAAGTTAATATGTATTATAAGCTATCTAGTGTTTTTTTTTTTTGTTTGTTTTCAGCACATTGACTACTTTTTCTTTTCAATTTTCCAGCTTTGTATAAATATTCTATGTATTTCTATATTTGCTTGCTGATTCCATTACTTCTACAGTAGATTTAATTTTGAATCAAAATAGTTCCTTAAGCTTGTGATGCATTCTAGAGCCCATCTTTTGATACAAGCAAGAATATATAATATAAAAAAAATTATTTTTCTCTGACCGATATAATTTTGTCTCCAGTATGATGAGCCATCTTTAAACTGTTTTTCATTAGCATAGTCAGCTTATAGAATTTAGTCAGGATCAGCCATTGAAAAATTGGTTGTTTTCAAAACAGCCAAAGTAAGGATGTTGTTGTTAATATTTTTGGTTGCAGTTTGAAAGTTTTAAATGATTATTCTTCCTTTTTTAGGAATCATGTTAAAAAAAAAAACTTATATACATGGCTTTCTTTGTGAATATGGCTCTATTTTGGCACTGTTTTAACCAAATCAGCTGCATAGTTGTAAACTGTATTGTTGGAAGTTTGCAAGCACACAAATTATAGCTGCTTGTTTCCATGGTGACACAATAAGCCAGTTAACCAACCAGTGGATCAGCTGTCATCTAGAATTGTCTCCATGGTAACAATGGAGTCACCGCATCTAAGAGATTAAATAAATAATTTTTTTTTTCCTCTCTGAATGAATGCATGTCTGTCACATAAAAAGCTTAAAAGCTATTGGATTATTTTTCACACAATTTTACATTTTTGTTTTATTTTATTTTGTTTTGAAATCATAAATTAGGTATTTATATTTATCCAAAAAGAGAATTTTAAGATTTTTTTTTTTTTTTAATTCTTACTTGAAGAGTTCATTATTTTATTATTATTGGTCTGCAAACAATAGAAATTATCATGGAAGATGAATTAGCAGTGTATTATTACAGTACTAATTGTTCTCCTGATTTGCTTTCATGAATTTTTTTCTGTTCTTAATTATCTACAGGGATGTACTTTAGTATATGGTATAATCATAGCAAAGCAAAATGATTGACCATTGCTACTCAGTAGTGAATTTGGTTCTCACTGGGTGCCCTCATACAGTTTAAAAAGCAAGAGTAAAAAAAGGGATTCCCAAAAGAAAATTCTAGTGTTTATTGTTGATATAGTATGTAGAATGTGCACCATGAGAGAAATCTAAGGATAAAATAAAAATAATAGCTCTTGTACATAGGTACATTAATAAGTTTATTGCTTAATTATAACACACACACACACATTTTATATATATATATATAATACACAATATTTTGTCAATTCAGTGATTAGTAATAACATAATTTCAATTTCCACTCAGTGATTAATTGGAACAAAAAATGGCTTATACACTTTAACAAAACCTCCAAAACAAATTGGTTTAATTTGATCTTCATAGAGAACCTTTTCTGTCATCTATCAGTATGGCTGATGCTAACCTCCAGAAGAGCAATTCTTTGCATTTTCTTGGGTTCATGTTTTCCACTGACATGAAGTGGTGTGATTATATTGCTAGGTAAATTGATTCACTGTGTTGTACTAGACAATTTTTCTCATCAGAATTCATCAGGCATATTTATAAATCTACCATTCAACCATGCATTGAATATTCCTGCCATATCTGGTCCTGCATTCCTACCATATATCTCTAGATTCTTGACAAAATCCAAAGAAGGATTTGTAATGTAATCAATCCTGACCGGACATCTTGACTTTAGTTACTTTTACATTGCTGTGACGTGGCATCCCTCTGGCTTTTCTACAAATATTTTCATGGGAATTGTTCTGAGATTTTCTCCTTGGTGCCTTGACTGCATAAATTTAAGCATACTACTAGATTGACAAGTAGGTCTCACCATTTTACTGTTGAAATAGCTAGATGTATCGTAACTGTATATTTTATTCTAATAGCTTGTTTTCTCACACTTCTTGCATGTGGAACTCTTCCTTTTTCTTGCTTCCCTGACACCTACAATCTTCAAAAATTTAAATCCAATGCCAGTCACCATCTTCTGTCTTCCTCATTCCTGTTCTTTTATTGTATTTTAACCTCACTAAAGTTGTCTCATTCTTGCTTGGGGTGAAATGTTTAAAAAAAAATATACAATGAAAATATCAGATCCAAATTCAGATAACTACATATTAGGCTACAAACTTATTGATCCAACCTTGTAATTAAGCTCTGAGCCAAAATATGATTAGCAGCATACTTTTTTAATTTGTGCACATAAATACATCTTGTGAATGAAGTTCT